ACAGGAACCCATCAAAAACCATGTGGAACTGCAAACCATGTGAAAACAAAGTCCACAAAATACTCGAGAAAACTCATCTAAACAGAATGGTGGAGGGTTCATTTGGGTTGAGGTGAGACTGAAGACAGCAAAATTAACTGGCTCTTTAAGCAATCCAAATGAGAGAGGCTTGAACAAAGAGAGCATCTATAGAGAGATCTGGGAAATATCTGAGTGGTCAATTTAGCGGACCTTGGTCATCTGCTGAATACAGAAGTTAAAGAAGAAATGTATCTGGGATCAGTGATTTGATGAGTGCTATTACACTTTTCCACAATGAGAAATATGATTCAGGAGACAGTCATGCCCTAGATGGATTAGTGAATTACAGAAAAATTCCAACCAGTGGACTATAAGGAGTGAAGAAGGCAGATCAAATACCAAAGGATACTAACATCTACACCAGAAGAGACATACAGAGGAGGAAGAGACAATAGACAGAAACCAAAAAGATAGAAATTGGTAGCCTTTCTTTTAACAAAGGCATTCCAAGAAGAAAAGAGCCTGCAACACTGAAATATATTTAAATAATGTTTTATTATGATAGATATTTACTAGTATTAAAAAAGTATGTAATATTTTATACTTTATAGTACATCTTTGTACAATATATAAGCATCATTTGATTTCAACCACAAATCTGTACAACTAGATTAGATATTATCATTTATGTCAGTATCTCATGGAAGAGAAACTGAGGGTTAGAGAGATTAAGTCTCTCAAGGTTACATAGCTGGTAACCCAAGGCTGCTGAATCCATTTTCTCCAGGTAGTTCATTAAATAATCTAGTTATATCTGAACTGCATGGAGAGGTTTTTTTTCTTCACTAAAATATTTAGAAAACTATGTCATTAGCTAAAACCAATCCACATATTCTCAATTATAGAAATTATTTAAATGACTAAACATAATATTTGAAGATAACTGCCTTTAGTACAACTATAAACTCATTTTTTTTGGTGGAACTTTAACAAAGACAGCATATGTCTTAGATATGACAGTTACAGAGTTTTTTTTTAAGTCTAGAACAAAGTGTCATGAACGTTTTCTGTAGAAAGTATTTTTACTCAAGTCAGAGAATCAATGTAATTTTTACTTTCAAGTGAACACTACCAGCCTCAAAATGACAATAGTTACCCATTATCTGCTTCAGATATACAAACAGGATATTCAATTTTAGACTCACTAAGTAATGTGGCAACCTATTAACTGAGCCAAAAAATTAATCAATAGAAAGAATAAAACTATTCCAAACAGTTCCTTTAAAAACATTCAAAAATAGTACACATAAATCTCTTGCATAGATGCATAAAAGCTAAATTGTAAAATGCTTGGGAAACCTGGTCCTCAAAAAGTGACATAAAAAAATTATGAACGTGCTAGAAGAAGAACTGAAACTAAAGGCATAGTTGTACAAACATCTTTCCCAACTGTGAGAGATTGTGCAAAAGCCACATAGAAGTCAGCAAGTATCCTAAGATCCATCCCCGGCTCACTGTGGTCATTAAGAATGTCTCACTCCTATCAATCCTTTGCAATATAGAAAATTATTACTTTTGAAGCTTAAGTAGCATTTTATGTAATTTTATATTTTTAAAAAAATTATTTGGTGATAGGAGAGTGGATACTGCTTTCCCAGTCCTCCCTAAAGATGGAGAATCACTGGCTGAAGGAGGCTGATATTGGCTTAGTCTTATCAAAAGGAAAAGGAAGCAAGCCATAATGTGAATTCATATGTTCTGACTAAAATCATCAGGTCACCACTCTCTGCTCCCTTCAAAAAATTTCTAGTTTAACACTCCCATGATAAAGCCCATGAAATGATCTTTCACTAGACAGGAGAAAGTCAAATCATATTGAGATGTCAACTGTCTCTGTTTTATTATGAGGTTACGCATCTTGTCCATAGATGGCTAATTCCTTAAACAAAAAGTATGGTAACAAATAACCAAGTGTGTGTGTCCTAGGTTGTATTAAGCCACTAGTGTGTTACCACAGGACTCAGACAGTTTGCATTTTAATTATATGCACTGATTTTATAACTCAGACCCATGGCAAATCACTATAATAAACACTTCAAAAGAAGTCTCATCTTTTTATGCATAATGCAAGCATCAAATACAATGACCTTTCCCATATTTGCACATTAGTCATTTTATTTTACTAAGGGTAATGAATTCCTTTGCTTCTCGATTTGATCCTTGTTTTTGTAAAAAATATTAATCATCTGGTATTCAGAAGTCTTTCTTTATAAGTCAAATTTTAAAGTCTGTCTGCTATAACCAAAAATATAAACATGAAATTCACAGATAATAACCATGGATTCCCTAAGTTTCATAACAGTATTTCAAGTAGGCCGGTTAAAACATGCCTGCAAACAGAAAAAAAAGTCCACTAAGGCTTTATCCCTAGGACATTTTTAGGGGGAAAAACAGTTCTGAAAAGCATCATTGGGCTTCTTTAGAAAATCACACAGATCTGTGCATATCATCATCAACGTTAGGCTTCCACAGTGAAGCAAATATTTAAATTATTGATTAAATTAGATTTGGGCCATGTTTGTGCAGTGTGTATGTGTTTCTGTACATACGTCTCCCAGAATCAATGAGACCTGAGCTGAAACATTGTCAATGGGTATACTGTCCAAAAAAGGAGTACAGGTTCACACACCATAATTATTACTATAATTATACTTATGTAACAACGAGTTATGGTTAATTACGTCCCTATTCTTTCAGCACTTTTAAGCACCTACTGTGTGCACTCTTCCGGGCATTGGGAGCACAAGGACAAGAGCTGGAGCCCGCTCTCAGGGAGTGACATCATAAAATATATATATTAGCAAAACATGTCATTGTCATTATGAAACATATCTTTACATAAATACAATTTTGAGAAAAGTGACTCCACAGTGAAAAACAATTTCCCCACAAGTAAATTAAAATTTTCACCCTGAATTCTCACGATTTTGAATGCAGGAGAGTGTTCCTACATATTTTCATCTTAGCCTGTTATATATGGTATTGCTCAATCAACATTTTGGTGGGAGAGGTCATTCCCTAAGGACCTATATGAGAAAAACAACTCCCAGGCAGGCTCCTAAGTGCAATATTATAGCCAATTGTTAACAGCCTGACAGGTAAATGACATAGAAAAACATAAAGGAAAATTGCTGGACCATTTGAAGAAGTATAGAGAAAGACATGAGAGGGAGGTGGTAAGGAGGATTACAGAGAATATGAAGAAAACAAAGAGATAACAAAAGTTATTCAAAAATAGATAGACAGTCAACGGATATTCCCATCAGTGGCACCGCAGTCTGTCTCATAGCTAGCCACTGGTAAGATGCCACTTGCAATGTCTCAGTGCGGTTTACACCACATTACTTATACTTAAATAAAACCTTTATACATCTATTATTCCAAATACAGTTACCTCTAACTCATTTCATGAAAATTTTAATAATAACAATTAGCATTTGTTGGGGATTGCCTGGTGGCTCAGATGGTAAAGCAACTGCTTTTAACCAGGAGACCCAGGTTTGATCCCTCAGTTGGACAGATCGCCTGGAGAAGGGAATGGCTACCCACTCCAGTATTCTTGCCTGGGAAATCCCATGGAGAGAAGAGCATTTATTGCTTTTTGTAGGTGTAGTAAACATGTTAAATGCTTTAGGTACATTATTTATTCTCAATATGCAAAACTCTATGAAATACATACCACTATTATGCCAGTTTGGGGATAAAGAAAACATACAACACAGGGCTTAATTTATAATACTCCTTTCCATTGTCTGTACTCTGTCCTCCCAAAACTTGACATATGTGCCGGAGTCTCAGGTAAGACTCAATTCACTGTGTAATTCTGGATAAATTTTATACCTTTCTAAGGTTTAACTTTTCATTTACAAAAGTGATGCATTAAAATCTAGTATATCATATTATAGGGCTCCCCCAGTGGTGCAGTGGTGAAGAATCTGCCTGCTAATGCAAGAGACACAGGTTTGATCCCTTGGTCAGGAAGATTCCATGGAGAAGGGAATGACAGCCCACTCTAGTATTTTTGCCTGGGAAATGCCACGGACAGAGGAACCTGGAGAGCTACAGTTCACAGGGTCGCAAAGAGTTGGACACGACTGAGCATGCATATCGTATTATGGCTATGGAGGACTGAGTAAGATAATTCATATTAAAAATTTCACTTATAATCTCAACAAAATAAACACTCAACAAGTAAAAGAATTATCAATTACCATCATTATCTATTTTAGATAGGTGATTAGACAGCAACATAGAACATCAAAATCTTAAGAGTTCTGCTCATACTTAACTGGCAAGTCTATTATAATATACCAGAGTGGATACTGATCTTAAAGTGAAATGCTAGATTTCCATATCAGATTATGGTTTTCTGAAAAACGTTTTTTAAATACTGTCTAGAATATTAGCCCCAAACAAATAGCATGAGTTCTGGCCCTATCCCTGGATTGGGAAGACCCCTGGAGGAAAGCATGGCACCCCACTCCAGTATTCTTGCCTGGAGAATCCCATGGAGGGAGGAGCCTGGTAGGCTACAGTCGAAGGGATCGCAAAGAGTCGGACACGACTGAGCGACTTCACTTCACTTCACTAGGGGGTTAAGAAACATAAACAAAACACTTAAAAAAGACAGTTTGAAGAAGTTCCAGAACTTGAAGTAACAAACAGAAAATGGAGGAAGGCGGAACCACACTTGAAATGGCCAAGCAGATGCGAACAAAGCATGTTTTATCAGAGACGTGAGTGGACCAGACAGGATGGAGGTCACCTCAGTGACTGCCTGCACCCTCAGGCAACATGCAAGGCCATACACCTTCCCTTCACTGGGGCTGTCTTAGTACCTCGGCTGCTGTAACAAAAACGCCATAAACTGGGCGACCAGTAAGCAAAAAAGGAAAGAAAGAAAGAAAAGATTTCCTCACACTTCCGAAGGCCGAGAAGTCCAAGAAGAAGGAATAAGCAGATTCAGTGTCTGGAGAGAGCAGGTTCCTGGTTCAACAACTGGCCGTCTTCTCAGCGTGGCCTCACATAGTGGAAGGTACACGGGAGCTCTCTTGGAATCTTTCTCTCTCTCTTTTTAAAAGACATACGGACCCTGGCAGCCAAGTGTGGCTTACAGAGCCCACCTGGCTCTCTCGCCGGTGGCCGACCCTCTTCCTACGCCGACCGGAAGCTGGCCGGACTCAGAGCACCTGGACGCCGTCAGCCGCAGCACATGCGCAGTCTGCACCCCGACTGCGCTCTGAGAGCAGGCCCACCTGGCCTGCAAGAGGGCGTGCTCTACGCTTCCGCCTGTAAGGAGCTTTGAACGGTTGTTATCCTCAGACCCCTTATGGCCCCGCCGTTGTTAAGGGTCTTAGAACCTGTCTGGCAATCATGATTCCCAAGTGCCTCCCCCGAGTCTCTTTTATAAAAGCACTAATTCTACTCATGAGAGCTCAGTCCTCATGTCTCAATCACATCCCAGAGACACCACCTCCAAATATCACACTGGGATTTAAGTTTCAATATAGAAATTCTGGGGACACACATAGAGTCAATGGCAGAGATGTACATTAACTTCCAGGATTTATCCAGGGTTGCCTAGTGAGGAGGGATCTGGTCCAAACGCACTGTATCTCTGTCATGTGAGTAGTATAAAGGCTCAGATTGGAAGTTGAATTTTTCTATAAAATGCAATGTTATTTTTTGCATACTAGAATCAATGGACTTATGTTTATACCCACATTACATATCCTATGGCGGAAAGTGAAGAACTAAAGAGCCTCTTGATTAAAGAGAAAGAGGAGAGTGAAAAAGTTGGCTTAAAGCTCAACATTCAGAAAACTAAGATCGTGGCATCAGGTGCCATCACTTCATGGAAAATAGATGAGGAGACAGAGGAAATAGTGACAGATTTTATTTTGAGGGGCTCCAAAATCACTGCAGATGGTGATTGCAGCCATGAAGTTAAAAGATGCTTGCCCCTTGGAAGAAATTATGACCAAACTAGACAGCTTATTAAAAAGCAGAGACATTTCTTTGCCAACAAAGGTCCGTCTAGTCAAGACTATGGTTTTTCCATTGGACTATAAAGAAAGCTGAGCACTGAAGAATCTATGCTTTTGAGCTGTGGTGTTGGAGAAGACTCTTGAGAGTCCCTTGGATTGCAAGGAGATCCAACCAGTCCAACCTAAAGGAAATCAGTCCTGAATTTTCATTGGAAAGACACTGATGTTGAAGCTTAGACTCCAATACTTTGGCCACCTGCTTCAAAGAACTGACTCATTTGAAAAGGCCCTGATGCTGGGAAAGATTGAAGGTGGGAGGAGAAGGGGATGACAGAGGATGAGATAGTTGGATGGCCTCACCAACTCAATGGACATGAGTTTGAGTAAACCCAGGAGCTGGTGATGGACAGGGAGGCCTGGCATGCTGCAGTCCTTGGGGTCACAAAGAGTCGGACACAACTGAGTGACTGAACTGACTGAACTGACATATCCGAGACCTATCTGTGTGATTCTGTAACACATATGTGTTTAAATATGCATACTGACATGTCAATAGGGCTATAAATTTATGCATTTAATTTCTAGTAAATTCTACTTAGTAAATAATATATATATTTGTTCCCTAGAAATCTGTAAATATCTATAGGCAAGAATGCTGTTTTATTCATCTTTGTATTAGCAGGGCTCAGCCCAATTCCTGAACTTAGGAAATACTTATAATATCTTTTAAACCATTAAGTAGTCATTGAATTCAATTAAATGACTACATTAATTAAATGAATACTGTTTAGTAGTCATTTTAATTTCATTTATATGAAATTGACAAGATCAGAAAATGTGTTTTGAACAACATTAATTTGGCAGCCAGAGTAAGACTGTGTGCACAGTTCAGACAAGAAGGCTACTGAAACTCCAAGGAAAAAGGCTGTAAAGACTCGAACTAGGCTGGTCCACTGAGAACAGAAAATGTAACCACCAAGAGGGAATTGGTCCAAGTTGGCAGCAATTTCCTAAACCAGAACTTGTGTGAAGTTAAGCCTAGAATGGTTTCTATCCTTGGTTAAGTGCTTGAGGATACAAAGTAACTATTAGCTGTCAGAGATTAAAAAGGTACTAGTCAAAAGAGCTTTAGAATGAATTTAGTTTTAGAAAGGAAAGTATTCAGACGGCTCATCCATTTAAATTATCTGCATTTAAGTATTCTGTCTAGCTAAAACATGAAACACATCCATCAAGACTTTGAAAAATACCCTTATGTTCGATATGAGATTGCTAATAGGGCTCCAAGTGCTCAACTTTAACAATAACAGTGAAAGCAATTATTATCAACTTTCAGTTAACAATCACCAGTAAACTCATATGTGAAACACTTGCTGGATTTTATATGTATATGTAAATATGTGTATGTATATTCATCTCAAACTGGAATTGGAACTGTTACCAATTCCACACTTAAAAGAAACAGGTTAGTAAGTACTGCAGTGCCTGGGGTCTTTATTATCTTTGAGCGGTGGTGAAATAGAATATAAAGAGAAACAAAAAGAAGAGATTCATGTCTCCATAGTAAGATCATTATAAGGCATAATTTATAAGTATAACTTTTTTACATTACAAAAACATGAAATTATATTCTTGGCATTAGAGTTTTACCTATGAAAAATAAGAAAAAGTAGTCCAAAATACCTTGAATATCTACAGAATATTTTTTTCTGTATCTTGCTCTTACTTATTTTTACTTAGTATTTTTAGGAGATATATGTCTATAAAATGTTATAATTTCTCATTTGTCTTTAAATTTTATGCATTATTTTACAAAGTATAATTTAGACAGATTTGGTCAGAAACTACAACTTTCAACTTTTTGTGAGTTTTTTCAATTTTAGATTTGACTATTGTATTCATTGATATAAATTCTGCAAGAAACCAATCTATATTACAGGGAACTTCTTTTGAAGGCATGTTTGTACAACACAGTTTAATCTAATACCAATATTTATTATATATAATAGTAGATGAAAATTATTTGCATGGCTTTTAATTAAAACATTAAGAAAAATTCTCTCAGTGCAGACCAAACAGTATTAGTCACATATGCAAACAGGGGCAATCAAACTCTTATTCAAAGAAGGACATAAAATTTTAAAATTGCAATTATAAAAAAGTAATATACTAATTATTGAAATTAAATGATAGAAATAAACCACAGTGCTCTGTTTAGAATCTCTAACAATTTGCAGGGAAACTATCTCAGAGGTGAGGGAGACCACTGATAAGCTGCTAGTGCCAAAAAAAGAATGTGAATGAAAGGAATGCAACTTGACTATAGAGAAAAGAAATCCAAATAAAGAAGAAAGGAGAAAACCACTTGCCTCTCACTGGGTGCCTCTTCCCAGCCATACTAGCCTCACTAGTCAAGAGGTTCCTGAGGCTGATAACTTTTATTTCCATGGTATATGTGGTCATTTTGCCAACAAAGTTCCGTCTAGTCAAAGCTATGGCTTTTCCATTAGTCATGTATAGGTGGACTATAGTCTCTCAAGTTGGACTAAAAGAAAGCTGAGCATAGAAGAATTGATGCTTTTGAACTGTGGTATTGGAGAAGATTCTTGAGAGTTCCTTGGACAGCAAGGAGATCCAACCAGTCCCTCCTAAAGGAGATCAGTCCTGGGTGTTCATTAGAAGGAGTGATGCTGAAACTGAAATTCCAGTACCTTGGCCACCTCATGTGAAGAGTTGACTCATTTGAAAAGGCCCTGATGCTGGGAGGGATTGGGGGCAGGAGGAGAAGGGGACAACAGAGGATGAGATGATTGGATGGCATCACCAACTCGATGGACATGGGTTTGAGTAAGCTCTGGGAGGTGGTGATGGATGGGGAAGCCTGGCATGCTGCAGTCCATGAGGTCACAAAGAGTCAGACATGAATGAGTGAGTGAACTGAACTGAACTGAAGCTTCCTTTTACATGTACCACAAAATTCTGTTCTAAGCACAGTTTGGTCCTTATTCTTAGTAAACTTTATAAACATTTCATTATTGCATTCTTGAATTATTTCTAGTCTGGGAAGGAATGGAAGAAGAAAGAAAGAAGAAAGAACCCAAGTGCCTGCTATGTGCACAGGCTATCCTAAGGAAAATATCCATGTCCACTGCTGCCTTCTGCCTGGAACAGTGGCATCCAGGACCATGGACAGTGGTGCTCTCCTCTTTACCAAAGTTGACTGCACCTAACAGGCTCCTTCATTTTCTGATGCACTGAGCATATTTAAGTATTCTCTGAGGGGCACAAATCAATCTGGGATTTCTTCAGCTGAATTATATTGAATGGCTAGTGCTCACTGTCCAGCTTTCAACAAGCATGTTGTCTATGCCCCTTGACTTTACCAAAGTATAAAATGGTCACCAGTCTACTGTGACAAAAAGCCCAGTGGGCATTCCTTGAACTAGAAGGTGAATTTCCAAATGAGCCAGATTCTCCTGTAACTCTAAGGCATGCAGAGAGACTCAGATAATGGTTTCAAAAACCTTGAGAAAACAGATTCTATGAAAAACATAGGCTAGTGTGATGAAGAGTGAAAAAGTAATCATAGACCCCAAAATATAAGAGGCAGAGAGATAGGGAGAACAGAAGAAAGTCACCCAAATCATAGAGCACTAGTATACTTTGAAAAATAATGCCTGTTTCTGAGGAATCAGTGAGTTCCTCTGAACAATCTTCCAGCTTCCAAATGTCAAATCAGTCTCCGTAAAGCATACTTTAAAGGCAATTGCTGCCTTTCACAAGTTCTAGCTGCTATTTCCTCCTGCATATTCGTATAATAAGCCTCCTTTATGTATCCCTTTTCTTTGCCAACTAAAAGAATCAAACAAAAAAGGGACAAAAGGGGCACCTAGGTTTCTGAGTGAGAGAGGAAACTCAACACATTATGTAAAACTTGAACATCTATATTTCCTTCCCAGCTGCCAGGTACAAGCCAAGTCCTGCTGCCTGGCTGCTGGGCAGGAGAGCTGACTCAGCCCCATGCCACTCTGAGGGTGACTGCTTGCACCTCCAAGAGTTTCTGTGTCCTTGGGGATGGAGAAGTGTTGTGGGTATGCCCCACTTTCTTTCTATTCAGCTCACTTTTACCATCAGGGTGATGAGTATGTGATGCCAT